GAGGATTCTGTCATCATTCAATGTCCCTGAAGGGACTCAGAACCTCAAAAGCCGCTGCATTGCGTAGCAACACGAGTCGGTATCTGACTGGGTACTCCGGGCTCGTCATTCCCGTACCGCAGGCGTGCCTGCAGAAGAGCAGGCACAGCGCTACGGGGCCTGGGGGAAATAAGTAATACAAGAATTGGAGTAAGAGGCATTGCTCTCTACGCGCGCTCGGCCCGGAGTACTGCGGGAGAGTGAGTAAGCGAAAACTGAGCTTTCGCCGATTACCTGAAAGTCGCTAATCACTATTCCTAATACTACGAGATATCTCGTCAAGCATGATAGGACATAACTACAACGCGTAGTAGCAGTATGTATCAATATATATATTAGGTGCTTGAATTAATTCTCGCTGTTCACTAATAGAAGTCAATAGTTGTGCTATTTCAACATGGGCGAAAATGACTATATTATATATATGAAATTATTGTCAATAAATTTTAATAATCAGTGTGTGACATTAGAACGTAATGCAAAGAACACATTTTTTTATTGCATTGGAGATGTCTGGTTTTATATAAAAAAAAGAGCATTTATGGGAAGCATTACTTTTCTGCTTTCAGCTCAGGAAATCTGCTGCTAAAAGTCATCATTTGCTAATGGAAGCTTATGGGGAGCATGCTCTATTTGAAAAAAACTTGCAGAGATTGGTTTAGACGATTCAAAGACAACGAATTTGACGTGAACGACAATGAGCACCCTGGTCAGCCGAAAAAGCTTGAAGATGAAGAATTGAAGGTATTACTGGAAGAAGATTCATATTAGACGCTCAAAGAATTGTCGAGAACATTAAATGTCGATGAGTCAACTGTTAGCAAACGTTTAAAAGCAAATGATCCAGAAGCTAGAAAACTGGATGAATTGAAAGAAAGAGACATTACGAAACGTTTAACCACTTGTGAATTGCTGTTTCAAAAACAAAAACGGACATCGTTTTTGCATCGAATTGTGACTGGCAATGAAAAACAGATTCGTTACGACAATCTTAAACGCAAGAAATCATGGGAACGTCCCGGCGAACCATCAACACCAAAACAAGATATTTATGGAAAGAAGGTCATGCTGATGGGATCAAGTCAATGTAGTATATTATGAGCTGCTACAACCGAGTCAAATCATCAATGCTGAACGCTACCGGCAACAATTATTTAATTTAAATCGAGCACTCAAAGAAAAACACCCGCAATAGTCTAAAGACATGACAAAATTATTCTTCTCTATGACAATGCTAGACCACATGTTGCAACACCAATGAAGACAATCTTGAAGGCATTTGGATGGATATCTTACCTCACTCGCTCTATTCATCAAACGTTGCTCTTTCAGATTATCATTTGTTTTGGTCGATGCAGCATGGCCTTTCTGAACAGCACTTCAGTCCTTTCGAAGATATCAAAAAATGGCTTGATAACTGGATTGCTTCGAAAATAAACCTAAATTTTTCTACCGCGGAATCCATGTGTTACCCAAAAAGTAAGAAAAAGTTATAAGCTTCCGAAAGACGATATTTTGAATACGATATAATGTGAATACGATGTACCGTTCTTTTGAAGTAAACATGAGTTTTTGTAGTAAAAGACAGCGAGAATTAATTCAAACACTTAATATACTTACCGAGTGTTTCAGGCCACCCGTACACCTCATTTAAAAACGAGGGAAATGATTATTTTGAAAAATGTGTCAGGCAAAAGTTGTTGGAGATCAAGTAATACATTACATGTTATGGACATATCCGATTGACCTTGGGTGGCGTAGAGAAGGTCATGTCAAGGTCAACTTGAATCTTTTTTTAATGGGAACCAATATTTTGCATTGCACATTCTTGTAGTTGACATCAAGTCGTTTTCGAAACACTCGTTACAAACCCTTTTCTTCCTGAGTTTTGAGACTTCAAAATTTCAATGCCGCCGGGGTTACCATTACCCATAATGTACCACGTGGAAGTCTCACGGTCGGATTTATACTTCGGGATGCTTGATTAAAGTAAGTCCACTTGCCTCTCACGCGCGTGTGTGTGTGTGTGTGTGTGTATGTAGCACAGTCAGAGATATGGAGATACAGAGAGGGTTTGGAGTCAAAAAATACTACGGGAGCGACAAACCGTGGGATCCTTATATCTACCTTGGATAGTGCTAATGCCGGCGGTATTGCAACTTTCAAGCCTTATAACATAAAAAGTACTTGATGCAAAAATATTTTATTATAGTATTTTGGAAATGTCTTAAGAAATGCTATAATATGAAGTCTGGCTATTAAATAACGAGACTGCGGGCGCAGAAGTCGTCCTAGAGGGGAAGGGGAGGAAACGAATGTATCGTTGGATAGGTGGAAGTGTCTACTATTCCAGTACGAAAACTCGTCTTTGTCGCTGTAGTAGTATTTTTTCTATAGAGGTTAGAAACGAACGTGTTTTTTTCTCGTGCCGATAACAATGTGTGACGAAAAACACGAGCAACGGATCAATATGAAATTTCTCGTTAAATTAAAAAAAACTCCGACTGAGTGCTATAACTTGTTGAAAGAGGCCTATGATAAGAATTCTCTATCTCGTGCGCGTGTTTTCGAATTTCTCGTTACAAACCCTTTTCTTCCTGAGAAATTTCTCGTTAAATTAAAAAAAACTCCGACTGAGTGCTATAACTTGTTGAAAGAGGCCTATGATAAGAATTCTCTATCTCGTGCGCGTGTTTTCGAATGATATAAACGGTTTTCTGAAGGCCAAGAGAGCACCGAAGATGACCAACGTCCAGGTCGACCTGTCTCTGTTTCAACTCCGCAAACAGTGACCAAAATCAATGAAATTGTGCGCGGAGATCGTCGTATGAGCATTAGGATGATTGCTGTAAACGCCGATAAAGAAACTGTTGTGGAAAAACAAGTCGTGGATCTTGCACCAGGACAATGCACCTGCCCATAACGCGCTGTCTGTGAAGCGTTATTTAGCCGCTAGAGGCACTCCAGTGCTCGAACACGCGCCGTACTCGCCTGATTTAGCACCCTGTAACTTTTTCCTGTTTCCAAAGATTAAGTCTGTCTTAACCCTTAGCTGACACACAGGGTTAAAAGTACCCCAGAGTGTTTTTGAACGCAACTTTTTCATAGCTGCGCGCCAAATTTGGTTCTGTGGCGTCACCTAAGTATTAGTCGAGGCTTGACCCAATATTGATAAATAAACCATTATACACATTTTTTCTCGCTGGGGTCCAAAATACCCCCTATAGCACGTACGTTATTATTTTGACGTGTGTCAGTTAAGGGTTAAAAGGAACCCGGTTCGAGTCGATGGAAGAGGTGAAGCGAAAATCGGCGGAGCTCCTAAATACACTTACAAAAGAAGAGCATTGCTTTGACCAATGGAAAACGAATGGAACGGTGTGTGGCGAGGGGAGGGGAGTACATTGAAGGGGAGCATTCGATTATAGAATAATTTTTAAAATAAAACTCTTTTTCATAAGAAGTCTCGTTATTTAATAGCCAGACCTCGTATTGTGCAATAAAATCTAGGGAGTACTATTTAAGAAATTCAAGTTGGTCTTGTTCTGACCTTGGCGACCCACTCAAGGTCAAACTGATCAATATATAGTGAAATATTAATAAATGGATCTTTTTATATTCTACAATTTTTTGTTTAAAACATTTTTCTCGAAAACTTATATTTTCTGAGTTATTCAAGGTTATTCAGGGAGTTATATCAACTACCTACCTGTTTCCCCACGTTGAATAACATTTATAAAATCTTAGAATAAAGGCAGAAAAATCCGAATTAAAAGATATGAAGACATCATAGGAACCTGTATTGTTTACACATTTAGAAGATGAAAGTAATTAAAATAAATTTTTATATAAGTTGCATTCAATATTATATGTTTTTTACTTTGTAATTGTTTCTTTTCCTTTATAAGAATTATTTCTTATATAATAATATTATTATAACAATAAAAATAACGTTTAAACGAAATAATCTAATATTAGATTCTCAATAAACACAATGTAATATGTAACATACTTGTAATTCCCTACTCAACAATGTAACTGTTATATAACGCGTGTTATGTAACAGTTACATTGTTAAATAGGAAATTACAACTAACAAGTATGTTACATGTTACATTGTATTTGTTGGGTTAACTAATTAATCTATAACTTCGCAATATTACACTAATATTATTATGACATATCACTATACATTATTGTAATGCATTTCGGCAAACATTATAATATTACTGTGATATCTCAGTAATCCCCTCATATTGCTCATATCCGTGACTTCTCTCATATATCTGTGATGCGCACCTTGATTATATACAGGCATAAGGTACCTACAGTTAAAGGCCGGTTCCAAACGGCATCTTATTTAGAGAGGTTCTCTTGGCAGAGATTTAGAAAGATACTCTCGGTAGAATTGCCGCTTTTTTCCAAAAGAAGACACGAGCGGAAATATTTTGGTTTCTACCGGAATTGAATTCGGGACCGCTAGCATAGTAAACCAGTGCGCTGTCTGCTATGCCATGCTCGCGCTCATCTTAGTAATATTGCAATAATATTTCTGCTATATTCCATCGTAATATTGCAATGGAAATATGATATTACTGTGATATTATGTGTTATATACAATACTAAATATTACACTGAAAGGCTCAACTAAATACGTTTATTACCCAGACAGCACAGAATTTAAAAGCAGACAGCACAAAACTTAAAACTATAAGATGTCTTAAAGATATCTTATACACATTTTCTTTAAAGACGACTTTAAGACGTCTTAAAAATGTCTGAAAGACGTCTTATATCCAGTTTTAGGCTTTGTGCTGTCTAAATAATTATTACGAAACTTTTATCAGTCTAACTATTTAAGTTAATTTAATCAACTTTAAGCGAGATTTCGAGAGAAGCTATTAAATTTTTCAATAGGTAACTTAGACACAATAACTCCAGAATATATTGTAAGACGTTACCTGATGATTATTATGTCGCGTCCGGCATGCACTGACGTCATCATAAAGTTCTTCGACTGGATTCGGATCGATTTGATTTATGATAAATGATGATTTTGTGCAAACTGGCCTGGGAGGCGGAGGATAATTGTACTCCGATAACTCTTGTTCTTCATTATTCGTCAGGGATTCTTGATTTGGCATTAAATCGGATACGTCGTCGTAAGTAGGTATCACTTTTGTAGCTGAAGAAGATTGTATTGGACTCGATGAAGCTTTGCCCCATAATCTCTTGTCCGTTTTTCCAGATGACTCCTTCTTATTCCAAACTCTCTCCAAAAAGGATCTCTTCTGGAGAATTTTGCTCGACGCTTCAATTTGATCCTTTACGCGTTCCTTGGTAGATTTTTCCAGTAAGTTCTACAGCAGTAGGATAATATTGTTTTAATATTCATACAACATGCCAAGAATTTCTTAATATTATTTTTGATAAGAAACTTTTGCAAAAAGAAATATAAGTAAGTAATATATAAAGCTCTGTTGATATAATACAGTCCGAAATAATACGAAATATGGCCATTAAGAACCTGTGCACGGTGTTATAGTGCAATATTATAATGTAATTTATTCAATTTAATCATTATGAATTACTAACAACAACGTTTTAAATATTTAAAATAAGTAATTAATCACTAGCTTAGCAGTAATAAATTTCAGTAAAAGTCTATTACTTGATACTGCTTATTTCTAATGTAGACGCCCCTTACTTATTACTGCTTACTTCTAATATAGACAGTCCTTTAAGTTCATCTTTAGACATTATACGGAATATTTTATTGGCTACAAAGTATCTAAAGATGAACTTAAGACCGTCTTAAATATAAGATCTGATTATGAATATTGACTATAGTCAGTCTTCCGAAGATGCAGTTTGTTTAACTCTTAAACAAATGCTCTATCAAAATGCTTTATGCTCCCATGCTTATGTTCCCATGTTCCCATGCTCTAATGCTTTCGCTCCCAATGATTCCATAAAGCGGTTCATTATCATTACCAATTTTGTGTAAATAGATCTATCTGTAACGTTTAAAAGTATTGAAAAAATTGAATTTATTCTCTCTGTTACGATAAGTGATATAAATACTGATATAATAAGTCTCCTATATATAATAGGTCTCCTATATATAATATATTCGGATCATATATTACAAGAGTCAGTCAAATAAAAACCGTAAATATTTTTTTTTATATTATTTATTGAGCAAAAGTGGTACACAACAGTATCATTTTTTCACATAGTTTCCGTGACGCTCAATACAAGTCTTCCAGCGCTTATAAAGTATATGAATTCATCTAAAAAAAAAGTCCTTTAGTTGTCTGCGCAGCCATTCATGTACCGCTTGACGTACCATGACTAATGTCTAGAATTGCACAATTTCATCCAGTCACTCGATGGTTTTCCATCACTAAGGTTTCCACTGCTGCAACGTTCTCATAACACAATATGCCTGACCCGAGCGAGGAACATCTGTCATAAAAGTCACGGATGGGTATCGATTGATCACGTTACGATTGAACACAGATCGATTCTGAAAAGTTTAGCAAAGGCTTCTACGCAAGGTTTGAATTTAAATAATTTATCACTGAAATATTTCTTTATATATTTTACTTTGTATATATTTCAGGATCTGTGAATTTAGTATATGATAGACTCATCAATTTAATAAAACGAAAGATTTGAGTTGAATATATTTATAAATATAAATATCTTTCTTTCATATAAATGCTTTTAATATACTTTTTGACAACGAAATAAAAACATATTTTTAAGTGTTAATTTATTATTGCACTCAAGACAACAGAATTTATTAATTTCAAATTTATTTTTATTAAATAATTTATTAAACATTTTTTATCGTGAATAACTGCCAAAAATTCATGTAGTTGCATCTTGATCAATACTCATGTCTCTCTACGCCATCGATATGCCACACTTTCTAACCTCGCAACAGTGATCTTTTAATACTTTATAACATTTCTTCTATTTGAGAACGACGATTTTTACTTTCATATTCATGTTTTACACGCCAAAATACACAATATTACAAAGTTTCAACCAAATCGGTAATTGTGATGGAAAGGGATCTGTCCAATTGTAATGTAGTCAATCAGGATACGCCCGAAGTCACACCATTTGCGAACTTCCTACTCCATTCGTACATTTGCTGCTGTGGCAAACATGCATTACCATATTGAACCTTCATTCGTCAATGAATTATAATAGATTTCACATCTTCACTACTCAAAAACCGAATAACGAAACGCTGTTCTTGTTTGGTACAAGTGGGGTGGTCCAGTGGGGTAGTCACCTCTACACAAGCATTGTAACGGTCTTTGAGCATTTTCCTAATACCTACGGGATATTCGTTACATTACGTCAAACTATATTGCCAACTTACAGGATAATGACGCGACATTTCAAATTTTTATTACCAATTTACGGTTTTCAATTGACTCTCTCTCTCTCTCTCTCTCTCTCTCTCTCTCTCTCTCTCTCTCTCATATACTACATGGGCTGAAAAATCCCGGGATTTTTCAGTAGGTGGCGCCACTAGAAAATGAACATGATTTATTTCGAGAGGTTTATCTGTCACTAGTTTATGTGTAAAGTTTCATGACATTTCGTTCATTCGTTTACAAGCTACAGTCGTTTAAGTGTCGCTACCTTCGTCTTCGTAAAAAAAATGGAAAAACAGGAATATCGCATATTGATCAAACATTGTTTTTGATGGGAAAAACTCCTGAACATTCAATGAAATGGTTGAAGAAATGTTATCCCACATCCGCTCCTTCGAGAACAACAGTTTATCGATGGTTTAGTGAATTTAAAATGGGTCGTACAAGCACCGAAGACGCACCTCGCTCTGGAAGACCAAAAGAGGCTACGAATGCGGAAATCGTAAAGCAAGTGCATCGAATCGTTTTGAGTGATCGTAAAGTGAAGTTGCGCGAGTTAGCTGAGGCCGTTGGTATCTTAAAAGAACGGGTGAAATACATTTTGCACGATGTTTTGGATATGAAAAAGCTATCTGCGCGATGGGTGCCGCGTTTGCTGATCGTCGGTCAAAAACAGCAGCGCGTTGATGATTCAACGGCCGGTTTGGCGTTGTTCGTAATCGAGCGGACTTTTTTCGACGTTTTGTGACGATGGATGAAACGTGGATCCATTACCATACGCCTGAGTCCAATAGGCAGTCTGCAGAGTGGCTGAAAAGCCACGAAAACCGACCAAAGCGGCCAAAAGACCAACGCTCAGCCGGGAAGGTTTTGGCTTTCGTTTTTGGGATGCGCATGGCATAATCTTCATCGATTACCTGCAGAAGGGAAGAACAGTTACGGGAGAGTATTATGCAGCGTTATTGGACAAACTGAACGACGGAATAAAGAAAAAACGGCCCCATATGGCGAAGAAAACAGTTCTGTACCATCACGATAACGCACCATCACACACATCCTTGAAAGCGATGGCCAAATTGGACCAATTACGATTCGAATTGGTTGCTCACCCGCCGTATTCTCCAGATTTGGCCCCCAGCGACTATTATTTGTTCCCAAACCTCAAGCGGTGGCTCCAGGGAAAGAGATTCACATCGAATGAGGAAGTCATCGCGGAAACTGAGGCGTATTTCGAAGACTTGGACATTTCGTACTATAGAAAGGGCATCGAAATGTTGGAAAATCGCAATACCAAGTGTATCGCACTCGAAGGCAACTATGTTGAGAAATAAATATAACTTTGCCCAAAAAACGCTTGTTTTCATTAAAAATCCCGGGACTTTTCAACCCATGTAGTACAATCTGTTGCACAAGAAAGTATACAACCCTGATACAAAATGATTGATCGTAGCGCCATCTACTTTATGATGTTGGAAAGCTTGGAGTATACCTATTTGCACAGTATATGCTTTGTTGTCACTCCAACGTTACGGTTTAATTAGAGTGGGAATTTTCAAAATGAGTGCAAAGTATTTCAAACGTTACGAGACAGTGTTTTTAGTTTTACATACAAAAGAACCAAAATTAACGTATGCTAAGGCTTCAAAAGTGGTTAGAAAGTCAAAGTCATTGTTCAGAAATGGGTAAAACTTTACAAAGAAGTATGGAATGTTGACGACTTGCTAGGAAGAGGCTTAACCTGTGCATCGACGTCGAGAGAGGATGAAACGATCATTAGTCTGTTTGTACGAAACCCTACGTTAACATTGTGCCGAGCTCAACATTAACTGCGTGAAAAAGATATAAATGTTGAAATAAACGCTATAAGATGTCGTTTATATGAATCAAACATAAAATATCGTTCCACAATTAAAAAGCCTCTTCTGGCACAAAAACATGTCACAAGACGATTGACATGTGCTCATAAAATTTGAATAAAGATTGAGACAATGTTATCTTCACGGATAAAGCTTCTTTTTGGGCATGGTTACTTATACGACAAGCCGAAAAAGAACCAAAGTCCTAAAAAGTCCCAAGTATAAGATCATCCAGCAGAGAGTTAAGCATTCGTTTAAAATTCATGTTTAAGGATGTTTCGTAAGTGTAGTTTTGGTTGTCTCTGTTTACTGATAACCTAAACGCTGAAAAAATGTGCTATATTTCTTAAAAATGTTTGTTGACATCTGCTGAGAAATTTTATGGAAAAAATAGAAACAATTGGGAGCTTCAGGAAGATAATACGACCCCAAACATCGGAGTCATCTTCGAACAGATTGGAAAGCTGAAAATTATATCATTACAATGGATTAGCCTGCACCATCCCCAGATGCGAATCCAATTGAGAATGTGTGGTCTTACATAAAGCACTAAGCAAATTAAGAGGGAAATATATCTTCATTTTTAAGCAATTGTCAGCCAGAATTAGAATGTTACGGTGCTCTTTACCACTTGAATATGCTCAAAAATTAGTCAAAAGCATGCCAAGAAGGTGTCAAGTTATAATTAACAATGGAGGCGAGAGGATCCATTATTAAGTAATTGCGCAATATCATTTTGTATCTATAGTATGATTGACAAGAGTGTATACGGCGAAACTCGAAAACGACTTAGGATAATAAATTGAAAAAAAATACACACATTATATATGATATAGACAGTGATGCTTTATTATTAATAAGTTGTCTAATCGCCTCTATTACCAATAATCACCTGGCATCTACGAGGCATATTTTCTACAAATTTTATAGCATAATCTTTAGACATAAACCTCCATATAAATCGAATCTGTCGAACTAACTGCTTGATGGTCCATACCTTCTTTCCTCGAAGCTTAAACTTCATGAGCGCCCAAACATTTTCTATGGGATTTACATCTGGCGCCTGTGAAGGCCAACCCAGTACGTCAACGTCATTTTCTTGTTTCC